GGGCGTGTTGTCTCTCGGCGAGCTGAAAAGGGAATGCGGTGCGTACGTATGCGTTAGCTCGTTCTATCTACTCTTACGCTCCTCTTTTCAGTTGCATCGTGCATCTTTCGAGGGTAGCAGGTGTCGCGGGCTTTATATCTTTTTCCTGCGTGGCTTGTCGCCGGTGACTCACGGCGCTGACGCTCCAGGGGATCGACAGCGCCCTCAAGCGCCTAGGCCGAATCCAGTAAGTTGAGCCAGGCTGTATGGAGGGGTTTGTCTACGTAGCCAGTCTGGGGTCGTGTTTGAATCTTGAAGATATAAGCCAGGGTGTGGAACTTGTGCTGGGTGATAGTCTGGTTTGAACTCTTTCCAATCGAATCTACAGATCAAGCCGACAAATATCCTCCAGCCCTCTCAAAAAGCAAAGTATCATCACCACCGCAATGACGACTACTGTGCACCCTGAGCCTACTGCAGCTGAGATTGTCGAGCACCACGAGTACGATGCCGGAGACGTGCAGCGGGTCTCTTTTCGCAAGATCAATTACCCCTTGGCCATTGTTGAGCCAGATGCAGGCTGGGCCACTCGCTTCCAAGCGCATCGGGATGCGATTATCAAGGCATTGGGACCGACGATAGTCTCTATCGAGCACGTCGGCTCAACCAGTATCCCTGGGCTGCCAGCCAAGGATGTCATTGACATTGACCTGACGGTTGCTGATCTCAGCGACGAGGACAGCTACGTCCCAGCTCTCGAGGACGCCGGCTTTCAGTTCATGCTGCGAGAGCCGTCCTGGCACGGCCATCGATTCTTTGTCGCCTACAGACCCAACGATTGTAACTTACATGTCTGGGGTCCTGGATGTCCTGAAACCATTCGCCATAAACTGATGCGCGATTGGCTCCGTGAACACAAGGACGACCGTGAAGCATACGCGGAGATCAAGCGCCAGTCGGCTACAGAGACGAATGCCGTGGGTGGCAATGTGATGGACTACAACTTTCGTAAAGAGGGATTCATCCGAGAGTTACTGGACCGGATTTTCAAGGCAAAAGGATATTTGTAAATAATTTTAGAGAAATTTCTGTGAACGTGCAGACATGCTATGATAGACGGCAATGCGGGTTTCGAACACTGGATGATACTTACGAGACACGATGAAAAGAAGAAAATCGGCTTTAGAATGTAGCCACTACAGAAAATGAGAAAATTGACCAGATGGTATTTATTTCTATAGTGATTTAAAATCATGCGATATTTATTTTATATTTAATTGTAACCTCATGTTTTGCCAACTGCCAAGATGCTTTTCTATTCAGGGTACTGGGAGTATGGCACAGCGCCAGGTCACGAGATCACCGCCCGCCCAGCTAAAATTTCCCTACGCTGCAACTTCAAGCAAGCCCAGCATCACCACTTATTTCCGCGACGCTGCCACAATACCCCAATATCCTCTGCGCGCATTATCTACGATAAAACTACAACAAATTCGAATGCACGCAACCCAATTGCACAAAATGCAGGCGCTCACTCGCGCTGCCAGGCCCGTCCTGCGCACCACTCTCCCCATCAGGTTCGTCGTCTCCTTAAACACAGGCACCTCAAATCCTTGAAGCTAACCGCGCATCACCCACCTGTAGAACATTTACCACAATGACAACACCCATCAGACCCTCCCTCTCCGCTTCCGCGATCCGCAGGCCGACATCTCTCCTCCCCTCGCTCCTGACGCCTCCTCCTGCAACAACAACCGCTGCCGCCGCTGACGTTGTCTCTACATCAGCCATCTCCGCTCACCCTGCGTTCGCTGGCGCCCAGATGCGATTCGGCCCGAGAAATACAATGACTGGCGCTACAAGGCTAGTGCAGAAGCGCCGTCACGGGTTCCTGTACCGCATGCGCTCAAGGACGGGACGCAAGATCATCCTCCGCCGCAAGACCAAGGGCCGCAGACACGTTGCTTGGTAGAGGAGAACGAAAAGGAGAACGTGTATCGGTGCAATCAAGCATGGAGCAGATATAGCATGGCTGGACTGGTCCTGGGAGGGACTGATCCGGGTCGACGGCTGACGACGAAGAATTTAAAACAGCATGTATTACTAGTGGTGCCGCGTATATATAGACGAATGGGCCTCTCGTAGCAGAGGCTCAGGCAATGTATCATCTCACTTTACGGTTTAAGAACTGTCCCTATGGTAGGTTGAACTGAGCATTTATTAAAGATAATATGACATCTTTTCTGATTATAAATAACTATGCAAACTTGTATGTACTGGGCTACGTGTAGCTCGTCTCAGGTCATGGGCTTGGTGATTAGACAGGACCAGATGTAGCAGGCGCGCACTTGAGTCCGACTGTGTGGCAGAGAATAGGTGTATTGTCGCTGGCGCTTCCGACCCAGATCTTGTAGTCGCCGTCGATCTTGGGCACAACCCAGTCCTGGATCTCGGTGTCCCAGACACTCATATCCTTGCGTGTAAACTCTAGCTCAACCGTCTGGCTCTCGCCCGGCTTGAGTAGCTTGGTCTTGGCAAAGTCGCGCAGCTGGATGATCGGCGTCTCGTACTTGATACCGTCGGGGAACTGGACATATGCCTGAGCGGAAGCCTTGCCTGGGAACTTGCTGCCAGTGTTGGTCACCTTGACTGACATGGTGTAGGCGACATCCCAAAGCGCAGAGTTACCACCTGGACCACCACCAGCTCGTGGACCGGGCTTTTGTGTCGTAGAGTATCCGTCGGGGTAGGGGTACTTTTTGGTCTTGGCATCCTTGACGGCATCGTCGGCTTCGTCCTTCCTCAGCCACGAGTAGATGTAGCGGAAGATCTTGTGGAAGTTCTCGGGATTTGTAGCCTCTTCAGGACCGGGAATGGGCTGGTCGTACGTCAAGATGCCAGCTTTTGGTGCTCGTTGCGGAGGGACATTCGACAGCGGTGTCTTCTTTTGAATGGTGGCTTCGTATGAGAAGGTTGTGTAACTGAGGCCGTGACCAAAGGCGTATCGGGGCTTGATGCCGGCCTTGTTCAACCAGCGGTAGTCAATATACAGACCTTCTGTGTATGTGTCCTGGGGCTGGGTAAGCGTGACAGCGGGGATCAAGTCGGTAACGCTTGCTGGCATGTCTTCTTCGCGCTTCGTGATGCTGTACGGGAGGTGGCCGTTGGGCGAGACGTCGCCAAAGAGAACGCTGGCTAGCGATTTGCCTGCCTCCTGTCCGGGTAGGTGGGCAATAACAACAGACTTGACTGATGGAAGGTCAATCCACTTCTCAAAGAGGAGAGGGCCGACGGTATGGGCAACAACAATGACCTTGCTGTAGCGTTTCGCCACGTCTTGAACCAACCCATCTCCGTTATGCCAGGCGGCCAGCTTTGCGCTGCTACGGTCTCCTTCATTTCCTTCAACGAGGTAGCCATTTTCGCCAGAGTCAGAACTAATAAAGACAATGGCAATGTCGTCCTTTCCAGGAGTAGGATGGAAAAGAGGGATGGAATCAGTGTTGAAAAACGTCACATTGGATGCTCGTGCTCTAATTGCCGAGATGGGGTCGTCAAGATACATAAAGTCGACAGTTCCCGAGCCCCATCCTTGACCAAGAGTACCTTTGTTGCAGGCGCGGTCGGAGCAAGCATTTGGTCCGTCTGGATTGGCTTGAGCATCGGTACCGTACACTTTGAAGACGCTTGAAGACGACAACGGCAGGGTGTTGTCGTCATTCTTCAACAGAGTCACTGCATCCTGTGCAATCTGTCGAGCAATAACATCGTGATCTGCTTGGACTTGGACAAATTCATTCACAATGCCAGTGGGAGATTCAGGGAAGGCACCAGGATAGAGAGCATCGACTGCCTTTTTGGAGCCGACGTGGAAGTTTGGTGGTGGGTAGTTTTTGTCCTGGCCCATTTGGTACCAAGTGGCAACAATTCTGGTCGTCATGTCATTGAGTCGATCCATAGGCACCGATGAATTTAGTGCAGCGCGACTCAGTTCAAACATCCAGTAAGAATAGCCAAAGAGCGGGATTTGGGTATCGCCCGGCATATCCATGTCAAGTCCAGCGAGGGCGGAGCCCACTCCAGACATGTGCGAAATCCAATCACTCATAACAAAGCCCTGGAAGCCAAGTTCATCCTTGAGAAGGCCATTGATTAGATAGGCGTTCTGGCTACAAGCAGACCCGTTGACAGCATTGTATGCCGTCATGACGGCTCCAACGCCAGCACGAACACCCTCTGCAAACGGCCATAGGTAGAGCTCGTGCAAAGTTCGGTCATCTAGAAGGCTGTTAGAAGATCGGATCAACGGAAAACCTCTGCATATGGCTTACCAATGTTGGAGCTATAGCCGGTTTGAATGCCGGCAATGTACTGCCGATGCATTTCCTGCTCATTTCCAATGAGATGCTTGATAGTGGCAATGACACCCTGTGCCTGGAGGCCCTTGATAGTTTCTCGGGCACCAACGGCCTGCAATACCGGATCAGAACCGAATCCTTCCCAGTTTCGGCCACCTTTGGGCTTGCGGCCAATGGGGCCGACAGTTGGGCCAAGCCAGACGTTCACGCCTTTGCCTCGTGCTTCCTTGCCAATAGCGACTCCTCTTTCGTGCATAAGGTCTTTATCAAAGGTAGCACCGACAGTAATTCCGTCTGGAAATACCGTAACATTGTCCGTCTGCCGGACGCCATTGGCAGCATCATTCAGGCACAGCTGTGGAAAGCCCACTCTGAGCGCGGAGCCAGTATTACCATTGCAGCGACTAATAATATTGGTTAGTTTTCGCAGGCTACTGCATGTACAACTCGGAAAGACCCGTAGTAGTCAAACTCACCCTATATTCCAATTAGTAAGGTAATCTTATGCACGCCGTGTTGCGGTTTCATCGCCATGGCGCCTGCGTCTGAGCACGCGACAAGCTAGCTGCCGAAACGCAGGTAAAATGTCGCTTGGAGAAGAATACGACGCTTACCCATGAATATGCCAGTTCCGGCAGTAATATTTGTCTTTTCAGCCAACGTCATAGAGTCCACAAGCTTCTTCGCCTTGGCGTAGCTGTCTCGCCATTCGTCTGCCCAGCCGCCATACGGGGCTGGGTAGTATGGAGCAGCATTGTAACCTGCTGGAAGGTCGTCTCTCTTTTCAAACGAAGGATCTGCATGTACGGCCGAGGCCAGCGAGGCGACGGTGCACGCAGCAATTGCGATTCTTGACAGAGCCATCGTTTCGCCTTATATCGATCCTGTAGTTTGCAAGAAAAGGAGCCCTAGATTCCGGACGTGTAAATGTAGGTGGGGAGGGTTGCACTGAGACAAAAAGCACCAGCGACGTGCAGCCCAGCCAGCTGAATTCTTAGCGAGCGAGCGACAACGCGGCAAATGTAGATCTATTCCAGCTTCCGAAGACAATTTTCTTCAGAGTGGCTTGGACGAGAACATGAATATGAAGGAGCAGAAAATTACGCGCAAATTCACAGCGAAGGGTCGTCTGGTTTTGCAATCCCCCAGGCGGCGCATGCTGGCAATCTTGTGGTCAACGCCCGTGCCAGCTACTGGTGCACGCGTGAGCACATGCCAACTTTGCAAGCTGCTCCTCGTAATTTAAGGTTTATTCCTTTCTCCCAATAGTCAGACAATATTAACTTTGGCGAATCGTCAGTATAAAGTTTTTGTGAACAAGGCACCACCAGTTGTATCCAACGCAACAGTTTCCGCCGGGTGGTGATTGGCGGAGTATCCGTCCGGCTCTGGGGGATCGCTCTCGGGAAGCGAAAGCCCCCTAGCGACGATCGGTGCTAGCTCGGGCAAACTCTTCCTGTCATGTTGCGCTGCGCATGCGCATCAGTTGATCACACCGAAATTATTTTCAGTATAACCAGAACGGTTACGGCCAGTAGCCCGCAATTTTCGGTCTCTCCCAGGCGATATGCGGGTTTTGGCGAACGTCAACGAGTATTGAGCCCGCTATTTTGCATATTACAAGAAGGAGTGACGTCTATTCAGTATTGCAGCCCGCTATAAGTATCCTTTGTCTGTTATATGTCGGGCGACCATCGGCCGCCGCCATGCGCAAAAATATATCGATGGTCCGCCACGTTGGGGCTGAGAGCGGCAAATAGGAAAAGTTGACATGTAACTACTGAAAAGCGATTACTGATTCGATAGCAACCGGATCGTAATTAGTGAGACAGCTCGAAGCGTCTGGTCCAGACTACGCAACAACAGCAGCGCTGGCTACCAGTGCCCAGATCACGACTATCACAAGGAAAGCAAGCAACGCTGAACTTATAGCCCTCGGTCCACTGTACCTGATCTGGCGTCACGCTGCACTTGACCAAGCCTCGCCGGCTGAGTGGCATTCCTCAGCCTGCAGATATGGCGCAGCGCCTCTCATCGGTAAAGTGCCGACCAGTTCGTGACGCAACGACTTAGTCGTGTTTCTGACCAAACTGACTGGTAACTTAACGTAGCGTCTCGGACATGGCATCCGTGTTAGGCAAAGCCTGGAGCCATTGCGGCAAGCCCACTCGCACCAGTCCGCGACGGTGCTGTTTTTAGTGTCTTTTAGCGTCCAGGACAGGGACTGGCGAGAGCACCGACAGCGGCAAACACTGGACTAGCCTCATGGTTAGGTAGCGAGGCGGGGAATGGGGCGGGGGAGGAGCGTGCCGTAAGTTGGGGAACCGCATCTCGCCCTGCAGTATCGGTCATAGCACTGGAAGACACTGTCACTCCCATATCCCTGCCACTGTAAAGTATCAGGTGAGTCTTAACACTGCCGTGATATATGTCAGGATCCGGAAAACAAACTGCCGCTCTCTCTTCCGAGGGGTCTGCCTTACGTTCCCATATCCTCTATTATTGCATGGAATGGATTTCGAAGGGGGGATCCACGTTATTCGGAATCTCGGAACTGGGCAGTGATATAGCGGGACAATTCATAGCGAGAGAAGAACAGTATTACTGGATCAAACAAGCCTGTGAATCCTTTGCTAATGGAACGGTTACTTCCTGTCGATGGACCAAGCACGTCAGTAGTTAGTTTCTTTTGTTGAGCCGCCTTGCCAAAGTAACAATGACCCTCCCTGCGTATTCTAGCGAATGGAACTCTTGCAAATCCCGCGTCCCCATTCGTGGGTGCGGTGAGCATCCCGGCTGGGGTTGGGATGATGGGTAGTAAGAAAAAAAAATAAAAATGTGGCGGCGGTGGTGGATGGCGGGGGTGAATGGGGAAGACCTAACCCACCCCGCGATGGGCGGCACAACAGAAAAAAAAAGTGAACACACTGCGCCTGCCAGGCCGTATCTGCACGGTTACAGCACCGCCTTTAGCAGGCCGCCGAGCCCTCCATCTCCAACATCCACCGCGAACTGGGGCCGCCTTTCCACACTATTGGATTTTATGCGTTTTGCTGCTGGAAAGATGGTGAATACCGACGAACCATGGAGAATGGCCAGATTCCAGGGTCCCCCCTTGCGCCCGTCGTTCCAGGCTTGGCCCCCTCATGGCTACTGGGGCAAGGAAGCGAACTGTCCTTCTCCATCTTCCGGGGCTATTACTCAATGGCGGTCATCCTACTGAGCTTCGGTGGCGGTGAGGCTGGGCAAAGTCTGTCACCAGCTCCATTCATCGTAAGTTCGTTTTCGCGTTGTGGTGTTTAGCGACCACGCTAGCCAAGCCTGCAGGAACGCTCAGCCCGGCCAGAGAGCTGTTTTATCGACGGAGCTACTTCTCAAACAGGACTCTTTGCAGTGCGTGATGCGTGATGATACGAGCTAGGCTGCCATGGTGCCGGCTTCTGCTCGTTGTTTGTTTCCGAATAGATTCCCGCCTTACCAAGCAACTCAGCAAAGCCTCTCGGAGCCTTCGCTGTGACATATCCCGACCTGAAAACAACAGACGTGCGTACCTGAATGGAATCTACATGTGATACAAGAGCCTGATTGATAGCGTCTTGACAATGTTGCATCCGAGATTCGCCTCTGTCAACTACTGTAGGGGAAGTGGCTGTGGCCGCAGACACCTCCAACGTACTAATACAGTTCGGCGATACGCTGCATACATCAGGCACCTGCATATATGCGCTATTCTATACCCATCCCACGTTCTGCCCTGGCAGCTCCAGCAGGCATAAAGCATGTCAGGCATCATCAGGCTAGTTCATACTGGTCTGGTGTCAGGATTTGCGGCCAGTGCTACGCTCCTCGACAGAACCCACCTATACAAGCTCCACGCTCATTTTAATGCTTCATGGTCATGGTCAATTTTTCCCACAGATCTACCATATTGATATTCAGTGATTATGGGGCTATGGATGCTAAAATAATCCATCTGCAAGCTTGTACTATAAGGGGGCAAGGCATTACAATGACAGGTACAACGGGCAATGTATACAATGGAAGCTCAGCAAGCAAATATAGCACTGCACCATGGCCGACAAGAGTAGACGGAAAAATATTACAAAGTAGGTTTGAGCATATATTTGGTGACCAAATATGAACAATGGCGTAGTTTAGGTTTCGTTGCCGAGAAGCGCCACCAACTGGGATTTCGTCCGCCATGTCGATTGCCACAAGAGCGGCACTACTGTCTCCCAAACAAAGCCCCAGCCCTCAAGTTATGCCGGGGCCAGCAATGACCACATGGCGCGTGGCCCCTAACCGCTGTACTGGAAGCCTGAAGTGAAAACGCACCACGGCTGTGGCTCAATGGGCTCAGTTCAACTGAGGGCTTTAGCTTTCGGGGCGATACCACGTATCGGTAGACCAAAACACCAGGCACGTAACAAATTGGTCTAGGCGGGCAGGTATATCGAACGAGAGAAAGAAATTAGCTGCAGGACACGGAGTCTAAAGCATCTAGCATCCTGCCAATGCTACCATTGACGGACGACATGCGCCAGGCTGGTTGCTTTGTCTAGCCTTCTCGAAGCAGCAGGAGGTCGAGGCGGCACCTGGGGCTGGAAGAGAAACGCCGAATTGCCAGATTTGGCTGCAGGCCCAGGCCATGGCGACCTCTAACTCGCTCGCAGCATGGCCCTAAACCCATCTTGGAAGTGTGCGCCGGTGCTACTCGTCACGGACCACCTGCAAGACAGCTCCGCACAAAGCGGCGGCTTACCACTGTCCACTCTGGCCCAGAGCCTTGGCCCCCGGTGAATGTTGCGCCGCCTCTTGACAAAGCCCTCCTTACCTATTCGTTTCTTGCCTGCAACAGACTCCACCAATGCTCCTCTGATGTATTTGTTGGCGCTCCTAGAGTGGAGATCGGTGGACTATCCATGTCAACGCGGGGAACGTGTGATGGGCTTTTTCTTATGCCGGCGGGCTAGGGTTGTAACAACATGAGAACTCGGGCCCTCTTCTCTTAGTATATGACCGCTGTCTAGCCTCACGATGTCCCTACTTCTATATAAGAGTCCATCTCCCTCCAACCTCATACACCCAACTTCCCTATCACCATCGGTACAGCCATAGTTCAATCCCCTACTGTCAATTCCTTTCTACATCTTCTTTTCTGTTAAGCCATCCGCGATGTTGGTCGCCTCTGTCCTCTCTCTGGCCGCAGTTGCCGCTGCTGGACCTCTCAACGTCCTTGAGAAGTACTCCGAGACACTCTCTCTCCAGGCTAGAGGTATGCCAACAATCCAACCACGCTGCACAACAAAGCTAACACCCTCCAGACTCTATCAGCCAGGGCGATTTCAACAACTTCAAGTTCTACGTCGAGCATGCTTCTGCTGCTTATTGCAACCCCGATGTTATCCCAGGCGCCTCCATCGCTTGCTCTGGACAATGTAATACTGTTCAACGCAACGGTGTAAAAGCTATTGACTCTGTCCAGTAAGTACTGATCGGCACATCATATCCCATGCAGCCATATATCTAACACCATCTTCAGGGGTTCTGCTACTGGCATTGCTGCCTATATTGCCAGAGACGATGTTCGCCGTGAGATCGTTGTCTCTGTCCGTGGTAGCAACAACATCCGCAACTTCATCACTGATGTGATTTTCAAGAAGCAGAGCTGCGACTTGGTCACAGACTGCCTGCTTCACACCGGCTTTGCTACTGCTTGGGGTGAAATCAAGGACACTGTTTACAGTGCCATCCATGAGGGTCTGACGCTTTACAAAGACTACCGTGTCGTTCTCACTGGCCACTCCCTTGGTGGTGCCGTCGCCATTCTTGGCGGTGCTTACCTCCGCAGAGACGGCCAGCCGGTCGATGTCTACACATACGGCGCTCCCCGTGTTGGCAACGACGCCTTTGCGAACTTTGCCTCTAACCAGGCCGGCACCTCCTTCCGTATCACCCACACCGTCGACCCTGTCCCCCGTCTCCCTCCCATTATCTTCGGCTTCCGTCACACCACCCCCGAGGTCTGGCTGTCCAACGGCAAGGACAACAACCAGAACTTCAAGATTAGCGATCTCAAGCTCTGCCCTGGTATCGCCAACACCAAGTGCAACGCTGGTACCTTTGGCCTTGACATCATTGCTCACCTCCACTACATGTCCGACACTGCTGGTTGTGCTCCCTTCCCTCCCAAGTGGAAGCGTGAGACAGATCAGGAGGTTGAAGCCCGTCTCAACGACTGGAGCAAGAAGGATCAGGCCTATACGGCTTAGAAAATACATCACAGCGAAATTGAAACGAGCCGACGCGTACTCTTCTCACTAGAGACCGAAACCGACACCTACCAAACACGTTAACACGGCCGATAACGAACAAATTATGAAAGAAATGAGGAGGACATTGCATCTTGGGGCGAATGCGCTTGCTTGAAATTGAACCGTGCTTCACGCGGTACTGTACATAGTATTTAAGCTTGCAGTATATAGCTGGGGACTGCACATATCCAGCAATTGTACATATATACACCATATTTATTCAGAGCACATATGCTAAATTGAAAACAATAAAGAAAATTACAAAGACAGAATTCGCTGATATAGAGCGTGGTGACATTGAAGGAGTTTGTCTACTTCTCATAAAGCTGTGTTTCACATCCCGGCCAACACACCATCCCAGCATCTAGCGTACTTTGGCCTGCCAAAACGACGGTGAAACGAGAACCTGCAGCTAGTCCATACCCTCTGTGATCATGCCTTGAGCATTCGGTACGCCAACTAAGATAACCCCGCGAGGCACTCGCACGTCTTTAACCTTCATGCAACCAAACACATTGACCTCTCGGATGCTTGGGCAAGCTCTGAATATGCAGCCCAGGATAAAGTCGGTCACTTCTTCACAGAAGCTGATTTCAAGATTCTTCAGTTCTGGAAAGTGAGCGGTTTCAGAGAACACTTCCTCAAAAGCTTGACGACTAATATTCCGGCATGCGTGGATATTGAGCGTCTGCAGCTTTTGGCCAGAGTGTGCCATTAATGCTTTAAACGCTTCGCCGCAGAATCCAACATTGTTCGGGTTCTCACGTGGTCGAGCTGCATCGACATGCCTACACTTTTGCAGGTCGATAAACTGAAGAGGTGGATTTTCCCAGTTCGTGAATAGTTGAGCGAACCCGGAGTCTGTCATGTGCTCGCTCTCTGTAATTCGCAGCTTTGTAAGCACTTTGCATTCATTGTGAATGATCTTCAAAAGTCCGTCGTCCGCATCAGGGAACTCTTTGAAGGACAAGGTTTTCAAGGAGCTACCGATTCCAGAAATACAAGACTCCAGCGATGCTGATTCCACTGGATTCTGGAGCTTCAGACCTATACCTTCAAGTCCCCTCAGCTTGCCAATGCTTTTCACACCCTCATCAGTAAGCTTTTGATTGCTCTCAATCTTAAGGCGCTTAAGATTAGGGCAGCATCGCTGGATTTCAAGAATTGTCTCATCTCCAAAGTGCAAATCCGTATAGTAGACTTGCAGCCTGTTCAGAGTGCGCCCGTTCGCTTGTAAGAAAGCATGCCACTTTTCCTCGCTCAACAGATTAGCTCCATCAAGATAGAAAGAGTTCAGGGTGTTATTCCTCGACAAAACGTAGTCCATAACAGTATCTTTGAACTGGATGGCAGACCTGGCTTTGAAATGCTTCAAGTTGGCAGCAACCTGGAAGATACTGACAAATTCTTGTTCGCCAAGCTTTGCGCCGTCGTATATGGAGATGGTTTCAGTTCCTGGTTGTGCAAATAGTGGCAAGGTTTCTGGCTTCAAAAGACGCCTCTTTGAGAATATGCGGGCAATTTTGTCAACAAGATGGTCAGGGAGATCGCCCAAGCTCTCAGCCATGTCGACATTTTTAGCCAATGTTTGGACACAGAGTGTTGCCAGACTTTTGCCTCCAATATCGCCATCTAGAATACGGCTTTGTGCAGTTCTTCTAGATCCAATACCTCCTGTCTGTTTTCTTGGTTTCTTTTTAGGCTGCTGTCCTTGCCGTTGTTTCGCAGCCTCTCTCCCACAGGGAGAACAGAGCAGTCCTCCACTGGGTCCTGCGACGGAGTATGGCGTTACAGTAAACCGTTTTCCACATATTTCGCAGTTTTCCATCTGTCCGGGAAGAGGCGCCGTTCTCTCTTCAAAGATGGCGCGCGCAATCTCATCGTCGTCGAAGTCTTCGTCATTGTCCTTCTTTCGCTTCTTGAACGCCTTGCTTGCCTTAATCTTTTCAATGGCTTTAAGCTCTGCCTCTTTCTTTTGCTTCTTTGCCAAATCTTTGTTCCGGCGAGCACCAGCAGTACTTGACTCTGCTACCACTAGCTCTGGCTCATCATCTTCGTCTTCATCTGCCAAGGCAGCTTGTCTTCTACGTGCTTCAGCCTCATCTCTGATCTGTCGTGCTGAGATGTTATGAGACTAAAGATTTATAGTTAGAAAGTGCAACTCAGGGGGACATTGTATCTAATACTAACAGCAAGGAAGTCAGTAAGAGCCGATTGTCTGTCGCAGTGATTAGTGCCAATTAAGTCCAATCAAGATCATTGATACACATACGGTCCTGTGATATTTCTTGTTGGCCTCCTCTCTTGTTCAGGACCATCGTCTGCATTCTCTTGGGCGGCTTGTGCAGCCTGTGCAGATCGTCTTCGTGCCCTTGTCGAGTCATTAGCATGAGAACGTAGAATTCATTCCACCTGAATACGTACATTGTTAAAGGTGCGTATTCAGTAATTAGTTGGCTGTGTTGGTAGCAATTAGAGCATAAAGGCGTCTAATTACCAGATTATTGCCTCAGCAAAAATAAACAGAACGCGGTTGGCCGTCAGCACCTGGCAACGGATTCTGGCACCTGCTGGCACTGTTCACGTTTGCCACTTAAGAACTTGCCTGTTAATCGTGAACGGGGTACCTGGCGCTGGCGCGGTGCTAACACGACGTCAGGTGATTCGGATAGAATTTTTGCACAATTCACACTGTATACTTTCACTAGCTCCACGCCAACTAGTATAGTAACAGGGTGTCTTGCACCGTGCACTCTTTAAAAAACACTGTTTCAATTACCGATGCTCCAGTGGCGACCTATGTACTTGCTTTTGGCAAACTCTCAACGCCCGTCGCAGGCGCCTGGTCACCGTTTTTTCTTCCACCCCTCTGTTTGTAACAATCCTGCGGGCGTCACTTTATTGGCATTGATTCCATCGCCATTGTTGAGATAATTGCAACGGCCGTTCACCCGACCTCAATTGGCTGATTTGTGGTGACCTGTGAATAGATTCATATAGCCACTGGCACAATTGTCTTGCAGACCTTCGTCCTCTTTGCACTTTACACTCGCCAAATCGTGCCTCCTCACTTACATAATGCCTCGAGGTAGGCCCTCCACAAGTGGCCGTCAGAGCCTTAATGGCACTGGTAAGATCAATCTTCTGTTCTGGTCTCCATCTGTCTAACAACTGCTGTAGAGCGCTCTACCCGTTCAACGTCAGCTGCAAGCAGGGCTGACTCTGATGTATCTGTTGAACCACTTCACGCACGGCTAAGCAAACCCAGGGGCCGCAGATCAACTTTGAATTTGGTGGAGAACGATAACTCATCCCGTGCATCATCCACCGCTGCCACAAGAAGAAGTTCTCGACGGAGTGGTATTATGGCTGCTGAGAGCGAGCCAGTTTCGTCAGTGGCTACACCAGTTGACAGCTTATCTGATGAGGGTGAAGTTGATACCCCAGATACAAGTCAGAACCCAACCCCAAGTGGACTACTACAAAATGCCAACCCAGGAAAGAAGGGAACTTATATTGAAGTGCAACTCCCGAGCCTCCCCCCACTGGCACAAAGTCACGCGAGTGCAGAGCCAGATCGACTAGAAGACAACGCTGACGATACCGATGAGCTTGCTACCAAGTCTGTCTCTTCGAAAGGCAAAGCAGCCGCATTACCGGTCGCCAGACGCCAGAGCGGACGTTTTTCTGCTGCACTCCCTACTCGAACTTCTACCAAGCGGCAACGTGCATCAACCTTGTCATCACCTGCCACCCTGCCCCCTACAAAACGTAATAGGATAGTTCCTGATTCAGATGAGCCATCTGGGTCAGAGATTGATATCGATGCTGAGATTGCTGCCGCCGCTGCACTCAACGTTGACGATGACGTCGGAATGCTTGTCACTGAAGGCTCGCCTACAGTTCCAGATTCAGACACATCAAGCGAATTATCTGACCTAGAAGATATTGATACTGGTTCTGCGTTCGAGATTGACAGCGAAGATGAGCCTCTGTCAAAGGGTAAAGGCAAGCAAGTAGCAAAACCTCGATCTGCTCGAACACCGAAACCTGCCGCTAGTAAGACTAGAGCTCGTAAAGCAAAAGTGGCTTCGACTGCAGCATCAGTTGTATCCGATGTTGATATGGAGAGCGATTCTGACTTTGTTTCAGAAGCTGTATCTGACGCCAGTGACGCAGACTCAGCTTCCAGTAACGATGACGAGGCTAATGGCGAAGCAAGTGGAAACTCATTACGCCGAATTGCAGCTCAGAGACGGGCATACAGGCGTCCCGAAAACAAGAAGCGTGTCAGGAAGGAACGAGATCGTCTGGAAGCCAATCATCCGGAACTCAAGACTATGTGGACTGATCTGGAAAATATGCCAATCCTTAAAGCAGGAATGATTGAGCAGCCTAAGTCGATATCTCGTCAACTCAAACCTTTCCAGCTAGAAGGCGTCGCCTGGATGAAGGCCATGGAGAAGCATGAATGGAAAGGAGGTTTATTAGGAGATGAAATGGGCCTTGGAAAGACGATCCAAGCCGTATCCCTCATCATGTCGGACTATCCAGCAAAACAACCCTCGCTGGTTCTAGTTCCCCCTGTTGCACTGATGCAGTGGCAATCAGAAATCAAGTCATATACTGATGGCACATTGAAGACGTTTGTCTTCCATGGTACAAACCAAAAGACAAAGGGCATGACCATAAAGGATCTCAGACAATACGATGTCATCATGATGTCTTATAACAGTCTTGAGTCAATTTATCGCAAGCAGCAAATGGGCTTTAAACGCAAAGATGGTATTTATAAAGAGGAAAGCATCATCCACGGCATCAAATTTCATAGAGTCATCCTTGACGAAGCTCATTGTATTAAGACTCGAACTACCATGACCGCGAAGGCCTGCTTTGCGCTCCAGACCGAATACAGATGGTGCTTAACTGGCACTCCACTACAAAATCGAATCGGAGAATTCTTTTCTTTGATCCGTTTCCTGAATATTACGCCATTTGCGTCATACCTCTGCAAGCAATGCTCGTGCGCAAAGCTGGAATGGAGTGTGAACGAAGATCACCGCTGCACACACTGCGACCACGGTGCAATGCAGCATGTTTCGGTATTCAATCAGGAGCTTTTGAATCCAATTCAGAAGTATGGTAATCAAGGTCCGGGTCGTGAGGCTTTCACGAAATTACGCCTTATGACCGACAGGATAATGCTGCGTCGACTCAAGAGGGATCATACAAACTCCATGGAGCTTCCAGTCAAGGAGATTTACGTTGATCGCCAATTCTTCGGAGAGGAGGAGAACGATTTTGCAAATAGCATTATGACGAACGGTCAACGCAAGTTCGACACTTACGTTGCACAAGGTGTTTTGCTTAACAACTACGCCAACATTTTCGGTCTGATCATGCAGATGCGTCAGGTGGCTGATCACCCAGACTTAATTCTGAAGAAGAACGCTGACGGTGGACAAAACATTCTAGTTTGTTGCATATGTGACGAGCCTGCGGAAGACACTGTTCGCAGCAGATGCAAACATGATTTCTGTCGCGCCTGTGTTGCCAGCTATGTCAAGTCTACAGAAACTCCTGATTGCCCACGCTGCCATATTCCCCTCGCTATCGACCTTGAACAACCTGAGATTGAGCAGGATGAGACTCTCGTGAAAAAGTCCTCCATTATCAACCGCATTAAGATGGAGAATTGGACGTCATCGTCGAAAATTGAGCTTCTGGTCCATGAGTTGCACAGGATGCGGTCAAACAATGCGACGCACAAATCCATCATCTTTTCTCAGTTTACTACTATGCTTCAGCTCATTGAATGGCGCCTTCGCAGAGCCGGTATTACAACGGTCATGCTTGACGGAAGTATGACGCCGGTCCAGAGGCAGGCATCGATTGAGCATTTCATGAACAACATTGATGTGGAGTGTTTCTTGGTTTCTCTAAAAGCTGGTGGTGTTGCATTGAACCTCACAGAAGCATCGAGAGTCTTCATTGTTGACCCGTAAGTACAAATATCACAGGTGAATATCACATGCATCCATAGCTAACAATTGTTACAGTTGGTGGAATCCTGCAGCAGAGTGGCAGTCCGCTGACCGTTGTCACCGCATTGGGCAGACACGCCCTTGTAAGATTACAAGACTGTGCATTGAGGATTCGGTAGAAAGCAGAATGGTGTTGATTCAAGAAAAGAAGACGAACATGATCAACTCCACGGTCAACGCAGACGACAAGGCTATGGAATCGCTCAGTCCTGAAGATATGCAGTTTCTCTTCCGCGGTAGCTAGAAGGGTTCAGGCATATCTCCAAGTAACGCTGGAAACGAGAACATCAGTACGCTGTGCGTGACACTGGCCTAGTAGATGTAGTATCACATAGCATAGTCTAGGTAGCCATAACAATTGTGGTGAATAATAATAGGCACGGGGATTACGGAATAATGACGAAACATGATTTTTATATAAAAGACTATGTAAAAGCGACTGTTGAAGCGTGCTATATACTAGCAGCTACTTTCAAACACCAGTTGTTCAGTCCTCAACGAAGAGTGTATGGGTTAGCCCATGAAGAAGAGAATATTGGAGGCGTCGCCAAGAGCGATGCATGCAAGCAAATCATTGAATGAAATCAAATGGTTAAATGCAAATTCCATTAGAGGTTCAGGAGAGCGGTTGCGCCAGGCTCACTGCAGACGTAGATGCAGTCGTGGGCGTTGGAGAAGCCGTTGAACTGGGTAGCAGAGCACTTGGTGTAGGCCCCCATGTCCTCAAAGTAGAACCAGTCTCCGACATCGACAACGCTCTTGAAGTGAACGCTCTCGGAGATGCGATCAATGCCGTCGCAGGTAGGACCCCAGATAGAGTACTCAAGACCATCACCGGCAGCGCAGGGGCGAGCAGCGGGGAGGTTGTACATGGTCTGGCCGGCAGTGCGCAGAATGTTGGGGACAGGGTGCTGATGGTCAAACATGATGCTGGAAAAGTTTCCGTAGACACCGTCGTTAACGTAGACCATGTAACCCTTGCCGTTGAGGGAGGGATCCTCAACAGTACGGCGGGCAATGACGTTGCAAGCAATGGTGAAGGCAGTGGCAACATAGTAGCGTCCAGGCTCGGCAATAATGTCAATGTTAGATCCCGCGGGGAAGAATTCGTCGAGAGCTGCGTTCAAGACGCTTGCCATCTGCTCAAAGGTGTCGCCGGTGAAACCACCGCCGACATCAAGGGTTCGGAGGTTGAACCCATGAGCGCGGGCTTCTTCAAAGACGGTATGGGCATCACGGACAGCGCCATAAAATGCCATGGGGTCAGAGGCACCGGAGCCAACGTGGAAGCTGACGCCAACGACCTGAAGGCCAAGTTCCTTTGCAAGGGCGAGAAGGCTGTTGGTAGTGTCCATAGCAGCACCAAACTTCATACTGAGACGGCACAGGCTAGAGGAGTCGTCCGTCATGATGCGGAGGAACAACTCGGCGCCAGGGAAGAGCTTGGCGATCTTGTAAAGTTCGTCAGCGTTGTCAAAGGTCATCTGCTTGACGCCAGCAGCCTTGACATAGCGGACGTAAGAGTTGGTTTTGCAAGGCTGGGCATAAATGATGCGGTCAGGAGTTGTGCCCATGGCAAGGACCTGCTCGATTTCGGTCTTGGAGGCGCAGTCAAAGCCGGTGCCAAGTTCAGAGAGGAGACGAAGAACCTGGGGGTCGGGGTTGCACTTGACAGCGTAGAAGGGGCGAATGCGAGGCAAGTTCTTCTTCCAGCGAAGGTGTTGACGATAAACCTCTCCGAGATCAGCAACAAAGAAGGTATCTTCGTCACCGGGCTCACAGAGTTCATGGTCGACAGCCTCAACACGCTGGTGAAGGGCTTGCCCGATCAAGTGCTTGCCAATAGAGGCCCCATCGCGGTTGATAGAGTCGGCCGGTGCAGGATTTTTCACCGCAAGGTGATTATGATTATAAGATTGGGCATGATGCTCGACGAGGGCGGATGCGATGACCATATCCTTGGATTTAATCTGCAAGGTTGCTTGAACAAACAAGAGATGTAAAAAGAAATACTCAAGCGGTTGCTGAGCGGGTGTTAAGGCGGTCGAAAGGAATGGCAAGCGTTTCCTTCAGTAGATGGGCGAGGCCTGCTCGACTCTTCCTCGGAAAGAGGAAGAAGTCCCTGGATCCTCCTATGCGGCAGCTCGTTGGAGTCGTCGGACGACGGAGTGGGAGGCTGATGTTCCAAACCACCAAACTTTAGGATTGCTTCGAGTTGCTTAGGCGTAAGCAGAGGCGGGAGGCGGGATTGCGTTGATGACGTGTGTAGAAGGTCGAAGACCGAAATTGTTGTCGCAAGGGACCGGCACGGCTAGATGAGCCGTGATGATAGGGTTCGCCTTTGAAGAGACCAAAGGCTAAGTCACAAGGACAGGAGAATGCTCTTTGGTGGAAGAGCAAACGTCACTAGGATATGCTGGAGTAGCGGTGGATGGTTAGCGGGACGTCCGTGGAGACAGAGTATTGAATTGTGAGGCGATAACGGATGGGGTTTGTTGCAATCTGCGTGGTTATCTTTTTATCGACGTGGTATTGGCGATTTGGTGCGAATTGGCGACGGCGACGAAGAAAGGCGGTGGGCGAAGCGAAGAAAAAAAAGCGCGGTGCGATGTGGCGGGGCAATATGTGGTGGTGTTTTGTGTGTTGTGTGTGTAGAGAAAGGGCCAGAAAGGCTATGACGAAAGCTTACCTGTCCAAACTTGAGGAGCAGCAAAAGTTGGCAGAAGAAAGTAGCGAATCAGTGCTTGAACTGCAAAATACAGACAAAGAAAGAAGTCGAATAGCGGCAGAGAAGATGCAAGAGATGCTGTGCTGGTGATGACGAGTCAAGAAGGTGACGGGGAGAGGCCAGTGAGGAGTTTTATACCAAAAGAAAAAACCTGCTGTCCACAGAAAAAAAAACGAGCAGAGTGGACAGCGGGTGCAGCAAAGAGGGGCGCAGCTGGGAACCAACAGGGCCAAAAGCGGGGCCCAGCATCCTTCTAGTGCCTATACAACTATGACGACAGCGGGAAGGAGGCTCTGTTACAGCGCGTCTTCAGGGGGGGCCGCCCCGGAGTATGGGGGAAGAGCGAAGTCGGCAACGGCTGCTGCGTGCTTTAGCGCCTGGGCAGGCGATGCGCCACGGGTGTTCGGATCCAGCGTTACAGTGGGCTAGCCCGCCAAAAGCAGCAAGGAGGTGCAGCCATCGTGTGCACAAGTTCCCCATCGGCGTCTGGAACGGCCTACGCTGCAACGCTATGCGAGCCAGCGTCATCTGCCTCCCCCTCCGCACCGCTGTTGTTATTTTGGCAGAGAGATTTATTTTTTGCGGTGGAAGGATCGGCTGCAGACGAGGCTGTGAATCATGCGACACCCTTTTTTTAGACTTTGAAAGGTGTTTTGCTGAGGGATTTGTTTTTTTTGGCAGCGGCCGCCTGTGTTTCTGAAATCCACACTTTGTATGTTTGTTAGCAGTCCACCATACATTCTGTACTTGCAACACACCAACCGTCAACAAAAACGCTCACCACCACTTCTAAAATTGCGATGTCATAAAAAACAGGTTTCTTAAATACCTCATAACAACGTTAGCGGTATGAGTTTGACGAAAAATGTAACGTGCCGCGAGCGAGATCGGAATATGGCTCGTGATAGAGGTTCGAGGCGAGATAGAACACGGCAACCAAATGACGTAGTCCCTCCATCTGTCAGTCCAACAGGATCCCCTCCTCTTCCCCTATTCTCTGCTTCCCATGACCCTCCATTGGGAGGGAGCCCATGCAAATTCCCATCACTTCACGTTTGATAGCGCCATGCCACGCTCTCCAGTATCTGTCACCGCCGCCGCGCCGATTACCCGTTCGGGCGATCAGTGCGGCGGTTCTGTAGTGCCACTCACACCTCGACGCTCGCTTTGGGGTAAGCGTGCACGTCTGCTGCAAACTCCTGCCCACACATCTGCGGCTCCAAAACGCCACACTGCATAAGCGAATCATGCCATGCTAATTTGCAACTCCATCATCATCATCACCACCAACAGCATCCTCACTACATCACCATAATAATTGTCTCATCACCATTATAGGAAAGGGCCCTCAGGGTGTTTTTTCATACATCATTTCATTATCATGTCGCTCATATAGTCGACAAACTCCCTATCTAAAGAATTCCAGAGCACCAACCCAATCACTGGTATCAAGTATATCAAACAAACGCGGCAATAAAACTTACAAATACAGTACAACCCGGGGTTCCCTCCAAATATTATACGACATCCTCATTATTCGATTCGCCAATTAGGCGGCACCTCACTTCTATAAGATGCCTCTCGTAGCCATTCAACAAGCTCAAATGACATTCGTCGCTCCATGGACTCGTCCAGCATTTTACCCTCTGCAACGCGGATGATAATCACGCCGACTCCTTTCTGGAACTCAACTGGTCCTCTGTGCTTAATCTCCTCTTCGTCACAGTACCGCGCATAGACCACCAAGTCGGGTGAGGGGCTGCCTCTCCACAGGCTTGCCATCCACTGCCAGTGGTCTTGAGGGGAGAACCAGTCCGCAATTGGCGTCGTGCAAGCAAATTTGTCAGCAAGAGTGAGACTAAATCCTTCTTTAATCAACGCAACGGGTACCTTATCCATATCCCGCTTATCGACTGGTGTAGTGGGATCTCTGCCGTCGTTCGGCTCTCGTGAAGTTCTTCTTGAAGCAGCCCCTCTACCTTGAGTGACATGATCGATGATGTCTTTGGAACGTTCTTGCCACGCCATGACAGTCTTGAAGTAAACCGGATAGGATCCGTCACCGTCAGGCGACATGCCACCGTCCGACTTTTTATAATACCGATCACCCTCTATCGCGCTGTCGTGACCATCCGCCTCACCAGCCCAGCAACGAAGCTGGACTTCACTGCAGCTTAGCAGACTCTTCTCTACAGCATTGGCGACAGCCTGCAGCAGCGTGGCATTTGGCCCTTCCACTGTAATAAACGCACCTCTTGCGTTGGGTGTCATGTCTCGTGAAGTAACTGGAATTGGCCGGACGATGCGTGAAATGAGCCCAAGCTTGCGCATCAGTGGTATGGCCATAATTGCATCTTCCAAGTTTGCCGATCGGATTTCGTCAGGCGACGACAGTTCAAAACTTGGCGAGGGTAATATAGGTTGTCTCATGTCCATGCTATGGCGAGAGTGCGTTGGGGAGATAGATGTCTGCAAAGGCGGAAGTCTGAGGGACTCATCAAACCCGCTATGCCTCCTGTTTCTGTCTGGCTCACCCCATCCAGGTGTGCCGGGTGGGCGAGGTGGTGGTGGCATCGGACCGCTGTGCGAACGAGGGATCGTACTAAGATCAGGAAGCGCAGAAGGATAGGAGCGCATTGGGTGATGTTGGCCAGCTTCTGGAGATGCCATCATAGGGTCGGAGGCGATCTCACCATATCCTCCTTGAGCTCGGCCCACAGTATGGTAGTTGCCAGCACCATTGGCTCGACGACGCTTCATTCCCGGCGAAATGTCTCCATCATCAACACCGCGAACCGGAGGCAGTTGATGGGGTATAGGCATTGGGCCCACTGGTGAAAGATCCATGCTGATTCGCCTAGGTGTTGATGTATCAAGCCGAGCAAGTGTAGGTTGGCCATGGTGTGGTGCCATCATCTTGTTAGAAGGTGGTGTTGCTATAGGCGTCGAGGGCGTTCGAGGCGTTGCGATCGATCGGCCGTGGCATTTGTTGCAACGACCCTGTTCATCGCTAGTTGCGCCACCAGGCCAATTTCCTTGAGCTTTACTGCCGCGACGAGGCTGGTAACGGTAGTTTGGATACTGGTGTTGATGGCGCTGCTTCTCTTCTTCAGCTAGCTTCTTCCACGTTTCCTTGATATCCTCTGCTTCATGCTTCCACTTGTCGCCAATGATTTTGGAGATTTCAGGGTTTGACAGTTTCGGGTTATCGGTGGTGACCTGGGATTGGTGATGTTGCCTATAGAGGATGAAGGCATTCCGGGGCCTTGGGATTTTGGGGGTTGGTGTGCAGAGGCAAATTGTGTCTTGCTTCATGCTTACAGAAGTGTTTATGCTGAGCTGGTCGAAAAGCCCGCCATGAGAGGTGGACGACTCCGCCGACGAGTTCATCGATGCAGCCCGCTTTCTGATAATATCTCCAGAGGCGCCTACTCCGGGGCTCGGAGATCGGCGTGGCATGAATGGTCCATGAGGCGCATTGTCACGAACAGCTTTGTTCAGGTCCATCAGTGCATGCGCAGGGGAGGCAGCATCCATCGGTCGGGGGCCAAAAGACATGACCTGGGTCATATTCGTGGAGGACCTGGGAGGTGTCCCGATCGCTGTAACGTTAGACACTGTTGCGTCTCGATCGCCTGCCTGCGGCGGCGTACTGCTTCTGGTCTCCGGGTTCTTGATTGGCTTGTGAGGATCCAGGTGCTCGGTGGCCCGAAGCACTCTGTCTCGTACAGACGGTGTTGAAACGAGGATGGATGTAGTAGCGACCTTGTGACGCTAGTAATTGGTCCGGTGCGTATAATCAGACCAATTCGGTCCCTAGGATATAAGCCTCTATCGTTGCTGTGAACGGAGTGAGAAGTACGTGGTCGTTGGAACAGTCCACAGCTGAGAGTGGCGGCTTGCAGCGAGTAACTGCAACTATAAAGATGCTGTGCAGTGTTCACTTTCGTCTTTATCAGTAGTCAATATCAGCCTGTTCTGCCATCCATCATCCACTACTTGTGGTTGGTCGTCTGACAAATCGAGAGAGTGACACACTCTGAAATAGTAACGAGTGCGGTTAGCCGGGCAAGAGGCGACAGGTTCCGAGTTGGCTTTCGATTTGATCTCAAGGTGAGATACTGTTGAATAGTCTTCCTGTTGTTGAATAGTATGAGGCTTCAAAACTCAACAACAATAGGCGGCAGAGGTATATGCAGACTTGAGACAGACAAGGGTATGCCTGGCAACGAGTGTCGAAGAGTGAGTGAAAGAGAGGAAACCGCCAGCGGATGGGGATGTGTTCCGATTTGCAGACAAGGAGAGGAGAACAAGAAAAGACCCAAAAGAAAGAGAGTGAGGTGAAGGAGGGACGGATGAGTCTCTTTTGGGGGTTGGCCGGGGACGGCGGCGGTGGGTGGCGGGCGGGATACCAGATTCAACTAAACTTTGCTGGTACGCCCACTCACACAATCTAGCGCCAGAACAAAAGCATTCATACTTCTAAAGGCAGCAAAGCCAAGGGAAAAAACGGAGCCAACGATATTATATCATCTCAATTGGGTTTCGGGCGTCTGTTGCTAGGAGAATAGAATAGCGCAGAAGAGGGGCCCCCAGACACACACAAGCCGAGTTGGGAAGACACAGACACACCTACGCATTTGCACAGTTGCTACCAGACACACACCGGCACACACTAGGTGAAGATTTACTACTAACGGCCCATTCTTTGCAATGCCTGCCTGCCTCTGGCTGGCTGGGGGGGGGGGCGGCGGAGGGTACGAGCGCTGTATGTCTCATCCATCAAAGAACCGCGCCGCAGTGTAGAAACGAGGCGCCCGCTTACCTACCATCCCCCCTCCCCTTCGATCTGCAAGACACTGCTCGCAAAGTTAGGAAAAGGCTCCGCGGCGCCTTGCAAGTGGTGGGCGGTCGTCCCGGCCATCTTCAGGCTCGTCTCTGCGCTGGCGAGACAGGTGGACACGGCTTTTCATGCCCCCCGACAATGGGCTTTCGATTCAGAGTTTCCAGGCGTCAGCAATGACTGGCCAGAGCGTCCTTTCTTGTGGAGAGGTCTTTGGCACAAGGAATGCTGCAGACGGAAGAAGCTCTAGTGGCTGGAATGCGCCATGCTGAGACAAAGAACTCTGTCTCTGGCAAGTAAGAAACTTTAGCTTCACGTGATGCGGCGATTTCTTTGTCGTTCCAGATTAATGGGCGCATTTCCGTAGTCGGCCCTCGCGTTGTTAACTGCATTCAATAGAGTTTGACGCACGAGCGTTGGCTCCGACGTTGGCATCGCAATCTACTGCTTTCAGCCCCGTTACTGGGAATAGACTTTTCACCAATGATGGAGAAAGAAGCATTCTCTTTTTTTCTAACGGCCAAAGTTAGTACTCGCGTTGATGTCATATTTTTTTGTTTCTTCCGCTGTAGAAAATGCATGGCAATTTCGTTGCATTGGCGGGGATGAGACAAAGGCAAGGAAAAATAAACGAAATGCGACTCGCCAACACCGTAAGCGTTGTTCCAAAAAGGCCCCCCCTCTTTGACGCCCAAGCAAAGACACAAACCGAAACATGACTACATGGAAGAACGCCGTCGAGAAACGATAGAGCTTAGTCTAGTCGAAACTCTGTCCGTGAGTCCCCTGGGCGTTGCGCTGAGGCCTGTTCGACTTAGGCAAAGTTTATCCAGAGCCGGAGAATAACTTTTCTCACCACGTCTGAGCACCCGCTGCCGCGATCCGAATCTTGAGTGGATGCGGCGAGACTGCACAAATTGAGTTTGGGGGCGGCAAAGGGGAGGGGCCATACGTTCACAGCGGTCAGCGGTTAGGGAGAGTTTGAAAAGAAAAAAGCATGAATCTTTTTGCGTCTTGACCGTATGGCAGCATGAACTTGTTGCTGCTCCTGCACGCCTTGTTCTAATACCAGAAAGAAAATACAAAGTTGTCTTTGCCCAATAGCGCCGCCTGCACCTGTTTACTACACCCACTGAGAGGAGCCTCGCCTCGCTCTCTTGTCTGGCCATCGGGCTCTCCCAATCTGCCTTTTTTGACTAATCTGCAAACAGCAAATCCCCGTTTCTTACACTTCCGCCTCATTTCCTCTTTCGTCCCATGTGCTGACAGTCTACGAGAGGTAGCCCCGGCCTTCCTCGGAGCTCAGAAGCGCAGCACTGCGGCGGGCGTCGAGGAACAAAGCCTCGCACTCGGCGACGTCCTGGATGTCAATTTGCTGGCGCCCGCCAGCCTTTGCAAGAATACTAAAAGAAGGTTCTCGAGTCAGCAAAAAATGATCCAGTCCAAAAGGTCAGAAGAGCTGCCTGTTGCAGCCTTGTGTCTCAGATTTGGGGATTGGTCCCTCCGCAAGACCATGGCTATCCACCCACACACACCACCTTTTGGTAGGTCTCTCACACGGAAAAGAGATGAGATGCGGGTACCAAGCAAAGGGCGGAGCGGGAAACAAAAGGAAAAGCAAATATCCAGGGTTTTGGAGCCGAGTGGTGAACAATAGGACAAAGAAGACCACCCATGCATCCATGAATCGCCGTTAAGGGAAAAAGGAAAACGAGCACAACAGTAGGAATGAACCAAACGTACCTAGCAGGGGTAAGCAGCTGAAGGCAGTAACGCAAGCTAATGCGCACGCCATGCTCAGCAATCTTGTCAATGGCGGCATCGGTAATGGCAACGCCTTCCGTAGTGGCGCGAAGTCGCACGATGCGCTTAATCTCGTCGGCCTGGTAGGGCGCAGTGGGAATGATGAGCAGGCGGGCGAGGAAGTCGCTAGGAATGCCGTGGGCAGCAACAATGTCGTCAGTGCCGCGGATCTTGCACATTCCGCGGTTGGACGCCAGTACGACAATGGGCGCAATGGGCGATTCCAGCGCACGGTTCAGATAGGTGAAGCATTCCACATCGAGCATGTGTGCCTGCCAACGAGAGCTATGTTAGCAGGGGTTCCTTTATTCTTGACCGTTTTTTTAATGTTTCCCAGGGCTTCCTTTCAGGGAACCAACCCAGCCATTCTTCAGCTTCCTTTGTCAAAGGACGATGCTGCCAGAAGACAAAGACGGGAGGGGCGGTGATCATGGACAAAACGGGACAAGAATAGCGAGCAACGCCGTTAGACAAACATACCTCATCAATAAAAAGAACGCCGGGAACCAGCTCGGCTACACCTTGGTCAATGTACTTGCTGACAACCTTGTTGATTTCGGTTCGCAGCTTTTCTGTAATCTCCGTCATCTTGGGCTTCATGAGCTGGCCCATCATGCTCATGATGTCCTGGCCACCCTGTGGGCGCGCATTGGCGATATCGAGATCGTGTAGCGTTACGTCCTGAACAATCTCTTTCTTCTTGTGCACCTCACCCTTGGGGATGGGCACGTACTCGTCGGCCTCGAGGTCGAACTCGGTGGCGTAGGCGTCGGATCGGCCTACACGCTTGCAGGCGCCGGTGTTGGCTTCGATATAGATGACGTCGCCGACAGTCACACGCTCCTTCTGGATGGCTTCGTAGATACTCGGGTCCAGGCGCAGCTTCTTCTGGCCCTTGGCGCTCTTGAGACCAATCAAGAGGGTGCTGATGGTCTTGCCGTATCCGCCGAGCGGGTTCTCAGCCTCTTCGGGCGTCAACTCCGTCACTTCACCCTCGTACACCTCCTTGGTCTCGCGGACCTTGAGGCCAATGGCGCGGCGGAAGTTCTCCATGAGCATTTCTGTCTTCTTAACTTCCGTCGAGTAGACCTCGCTACCAACAATGGGGCAGAAAGGGATCTTGGTGCCGAGCTCCTGGCTAATGGCCAGCGCCAGCGCCGTCTTTCCGGTTCCGGGACCGCCAGCCAGCAAGACGCCTCGGCCAGCCATTTTGTGAGCTCGAATCAGGTCGACAACGACGCCGCACGACTGTCGCATGTTAGCCTCTGTCCTGTTTGCGCGTCCATCGACCATCGCAAATGCTTCTTACCTCTCGTGCGTGTACCTGGCCAATGAAGCCGCCGGCTGTTGTCTCTGCATGGCCATCAGACTTCAATCCAAGACCCTTGATATGTGTGTGTGCTGCTGTGCGGTTGTCGCGCTTGTTGCCTTTGACTTCGCTGATTGAAACCATGGTGGGCGGGTTGTGCCTCGCTCGGCAGCTGTGGTTGTCGCGGGTTGCGTCGTAATTCGTAAACCCTAAATGTACCGAGATGAATTCGATGCGCTGGCGATTCGTCGTCTGCAAAATAGCGAGGTGTCGTCGTGATTTTGATGTTCGAAATATCTGCAGACGTCGCCCTGGAGCTGCCCATCTCAAAATGGCGTCGCGACGGGCGGTTCCAAATGAGTCACGTGATGGCGTTCCTCTCCCGGGTAGATTGACAGCTGGCAGTGGCAGACATATCGCGTTGGTTGAGCAATGATATGAATTAAATATTCGAATTTATTCAATAGTTGGTTTGGAATTTATAATGCCTTTCTATCTATTTTCAATCATGTAGTGCCAGAGCGGAAGAGTCGTGTCTCTCAAAAGTGTGGCTAACTAATATGGAGATCATAGAACAGTACACAAGTTCATACTTCTAACCCCAAAATCAAGTCAACATTGTTAACAAAGAGGTAATTTTTGTCATTAAATTCGTTATATATAATATGTACCACCATAAGGATTATGTTCATCGTCTCGAATCTTCGACGCCATCCATGTCATCCATCAACGCGGCGCGTTGTCCTTCCCCCCCAGCTCTATCTTGCAACTCTGTATCTTCAACTTTACGTTGTGCCGCACCAGGGGGCTTTTTCAAGACCACGGCGCATATGGCACTCCCTAAAATCAAGACACAACCCAAAAAACTCAAAAGACCCATGACGTGGTTGAAGATGTATCTGTCGTATATGGCCGCAAAGATCATATGGGTATAGATCATAGCGTTGGCCTTGTTGGATTTGTCACTACCCAAACCAGATGTCAAGCAATACTGCATAACAAAGCCTATTATTCCCAATGCAACAAGCAACAGCCATTGCTTAACCGACTCCGGGAGCTTGAAGTGCAATGCGGGCTGTTCAATGTTCAAGATTGGTGCAAAAGTCAAAATAGACGAACATATGAGGGTGCTGTACATGCCGAATATATTGACGGAAATGAGAGGATGTGCTCGCTTGCCAATTACACGAAGAGTAGTAAACGCGGCTGCAGAGCCGAAGACACTAAGAAGAGCAAAGCCAACAGCCATGAGACGCTCTGCTGGAGTGGTATTGTGGTCTTGACTCGGCAGACCACCAGATCCCTTGCCCTCACCAGCATGCTCAGGAATATGCTGGGTTTCTTGGTCTCCAAATAATGACGGAGGCTGTGCAATGAGTACCACTCCAACAATGGCAACGAGTGTACCGATTTGTTCGACTCTGGTGAATGGTTCCTTCATGATGATATAGCACATGAAACCTGCGATTCCAGGAGCCAAAAACGTAATGACTGTCGCATCTGCAAGGGGGATATACATCATGGCATACCAGAGGCCAAAGACACCAAAGAAGCCGCATACACCTCGCAGGAAGAGTAGGAATCTGATTTCCTTTTTACCCCAAGGAAAGTCTTCCGTCTTATTGAAGAACATGTACGTCGAACAACAGAGCGCTGTGATACTATGTCGAAATAGTAGACTTTGTACTGGATGCATACCGCCACCGTCTAGCTCAAGCAGGCGAGCAAAGAGGTTCTGAGTCGCGCTGAAGAACTGGGACACGGCGACGAGGATCGCAGGCCAATTGCTCTGTACAAAGGCACGCCATTTCGACTCGACTACAGGTGCTTCATTGTAGCTTGGGGGAGATGAGTCACCGGGATCAGAGTAGGAAAGACTGCGGCGATGCTGGTATTTGGAGGGTTGCGGTGAGAGTGGTGACGGACTAGGTGATCGGAAGCGGATCTGGCTGTTCGGAGTCAAGCCGTTTGGAGCCACCGGCGATTTGCCAACAAAGTCACCGGTGGCGGAACCAGACGTATAGTCTGACTCTGCTTTGGTCTGAGCTGAGGAGCCCAACTCGGCACCTAGTCGATGGCTCATATTTGCTTCTGGTTGGGGGAGCGGAGGACGCCGGCCGCAAGGAATTCCGTCGTTGCCGCTTGGTTCGGGACTCCGTGTGAGGACGGACCGCAGCTACCATGGGCGAAGTAGTAGGGCCGGAACAACGGGAGAAGCCAATCGAGCACCGAAGCCGCTCGAAGGAAAAGCAGATGAGAAAGGAAGAGAGAAGTTGGGGAAATATCGACTAAGCACGGGTTTAGCCACACACTGCCGCGGCACGAAGCGGTCTTTGCGCCGCAGCCAATCGCATCTCCGGAGACTGCACCACCGGAAATACGGGGCGATCGGCGACGCAGGCAGTCTGCGTCGTGCGATGCATGTCTGCCCGCGAGAACGGGAACATGAAGGCAATAATAATAAGGGACGGCTAAATACTTCAGTCCAAGACAATACTGGGTACGTTGTGACTTGATTGTGTTTTTGTATGGATCGCGATCCCGCATCCCGAAAGCAGTGATAGGAGCATTCGGCCTAGGCAGTCTTAAACTGAACGTAAACTACTGTCAAATGGACTTGTACAGTCTTTGTGACATTACGGTAAGCTGTATCGATTAATAGTACATACAAACATCACCACCAATAGGCTAAAGAAACAAGTAAAACGAACATACAGTGTCTTGTACAAGGAACGCTACTCATAAATATGCTCTAGATGGGCGCCATCCATCTCGAAACTTCCAAACGCCGTAATAAAACCTATAACGCCAACGCAAAAAGTACGCACGGGGATGCAATTAAGTCCCAAATAACAAATCCAACGCCGTAGTAATGCAACATGCAACCGGTGTCTTCAGCAGCGTCACTTCTTCTTTCCGAGAGCATCAGCATACGCATCCGCGTCATCATCGTCTTCTCCCAATTCCTCATCTTTGGAGCCTTTGGCATCTTCAGCCTTAGCTTTCTTCTTCTCTTCTTCTACGGCTTCCTTCATAATGTCGTCCTCGCCGTCTCTCAGAATCTCACGCGCCTTCTTAATCTCTCGCTGCTTCTCAAACACCTCCTGCACCTTGCCCAGAAAGACAGGGTTCTTGCGGAATGCAAATTCAAAATCTTCGTATTTGATCTTTTGTCGTCCAGTATACTGTCCTGCACGGGAGGCTTCAAAGGCAACGGCTTGCATAAAGTCTGTCAGGATTTCGTCGAGGACTCGCAGCGTTTCGGGCAGCGGGTTCTTGACGTCGCCATGTGCGTAGAGCAGCTGGGCCACTGTATTGTAAAAGAGTCAGTATATGACAGGAATCATCTAGAGGCGGTAGAATGCGTACACTCGGCGTTGGAAAAGTTCATTTTGCCAACATTTTTGGCAGCACGCGCTCGAGGCTCCATGGCGTCTGAGTAGGGTGGCGCAGCGCAGCGTCGTCAGACTGTATCAACGGTGTGATGGGCTGGATGTTGGAAGAGATATGCGCGAGGTGTAGCGCCGTAAATTCACCCTCGATGCGCAGTGTCGATGCAAAAAAGTTGAAGTTGCAGACGTGAGCAGTGACAGCGGCCCGCGACGAAAGCTTGGTGGAGCCGACCGCCTATGCGGGCGCCGTGGTTGGCTGGATGGTGGGGGAAGACACCTCCTGGAAAACATGTGGCCAAGCTGGCAGAGGCGACAAACTCCCTGCACAATCGCAACTTCAACAGCGCGCCAATACTCAACAGCTCTAGTGACGAAACAAATTAATTAAAAATGGTATGGAAACCACCTGATTGTTCTCTCTATTTCCGCTAACCGGCTTTCTGTCTACAGTCTGCGCTCTTCAACTTCCAATCCCTCCTCCTGGTGCTTCTGCTCCTGATCTGCACCAGCACCTACGTCCATCACTTCTTCCCAGGCGTCATGGATAGAAATAAGAACGGGTTCGTCGAGGTCGCACTATGGTCAAGCTTGGGCGACCGCTAACAAAATCTCTAGAGTCACGGGTATCTTTTGGAAATGCGCGAGGGTAGGCGAACGCCTGAGCCCATACATTAGCTTGTGCTGTGTCATCATGGCTGTACGTTTTCGCAAATGCTTTTTTGGTGTTTTTACATTTACAGCTGGCTAATATAACGACTGCAGGTCTCGGTTCTCTTCAACTAAGCAGGTGGGACCCCGGCTACGACGACAACGACGACACACCACATCGCATTTACATTTGTTTACGAGCTTGGAGTTTGGCGAATTGCTTATAATGATTACAGGATTAACGGAGGTCGGTGGATAAAAAAGAAAAGACTGCTGTCTTGGGATATATAAACCCGTCTTAATGTATACTCTCCCTCTTAATATTCCTCACACTTGGTGATAATACTGGTAACCTGGAAGCAGGCTAGGCATATAATATATGGCTGCAGGTATGGGAGAGCAGTATATAGAGGAGAACAAATGGGGCTTACGTCATCAAAGAGAACGTCTTCGTGGCTCAGTTGGTTAGAGCGTTGGTCTCATAATAATGACCCGGCCCCAGGTTGGGATATCCAAAGGTCGTGAGTTCGAACCTCACCGAGGACACTCTTTTTTGCCAAAATCATCTATTTTTGTGGGTGGCAGGAGTGGGCTATCCATTCATTGTGTCATTTTGCTGGACAACAGTTGTCTATTGTTCTATGAAAAATATATATGTACGAAGCGTATGTAGAGGATATGCTTGAAATTCTTGTATGTACAATCCTGCATTTGCAACCGATACTTCTTAGCAGCTATCAAGTCCAGAAAAATCTTGGAAAAGCTTCTGAACTGTCTTTTTGCCATCAGAAGCCACCAAATTGTAGGTACGAGTGTAGGTACCGGGCATATCGGTGTGGGAGGCTTTGTAAAATGTGTACCCGGAGCCGGCAACACCAGTTGTCTTGGAAAATGTGAGAGCCTTGGTCTGAACCTTGGGAACGAGGGCAGTTAGAGATGAAGGCATCTGGATGGATCCCTTGAGAGAGCTAAGTTTAGCGTCGTCTCGAACCTACACATTCGGTTAGCAGACTGCATTGTCGATGCAAATGTAAAGCAAGTAGACTTACAGCAACGGTCAAGGTAAGAGCACCTTTGCTATTCTGTTCGGCACAGGAAAGCTTGGGCTGTGTCAAAAGAGTATCATCAAAAGGAAAACCGGCACCTCCATTTGTGTACGTAGTCGTCTTGATCTTGCCATTATCCTGCTTGTCACTGACGACAACCTCGAAGCTGGATACTCCCCTTGACAGGCCAACCTTTACCGAGAACGGATAACGTTTGAATGCAATGGGTTCATACTGAGAGGCAGTCCAAGACCCTTCGTCAGCAGTAACAGCCGCGGACAAGCATGCTTTAGATTGTGCACAAGTTTGTGTGGAACCGCGAGGACGGAATTGTATCTTTACAGTTCGGTCCGGGTTAGGTCCAATGGACGGCTCGCGAAGCTGTAGTCATGTTAGAAAGGCCTGAATGAATGAAGCGATCTATGAGAACTCTTTACCCGAATATTACCACTGAGAGTCATCGTTTTGTTGTCGTTGATCTGACCAAATAGGCGACCTGGCTTAACGTCAATGGGATGCAAGGGCGAACTGGCGAGTGTTACTGTCTTGGGAACAATGTTGACCATTTTCTCAAGGAGAGTCTGACAGGTTTGGAAGAATACATCCGGCGACGAAGCTAGCTTGGTGATTGCCTTGCGACCATCAGAGTTAAAAATGCGCTTATCCGAGTTGGTCGTGTCGTTTTTGCCAAAGGCGAGAGGGTTTTGGGTAACATTGGCAACGAACTCCGTGGCACTGATTTTTCGGTTCAGCAAAATCCCCAATATCATCTCTCTGTTATTTGAACTTACATCTTGTTGTCAAATGAGCTGGTTCCACTGCCTGTTGTATCAAAATCTTGGGTTCGATCGTGGTCATCCTGTAGATTGTTAGTGTATTGAAAACATTTTGGCATAAAAACCACTTACAGGTCCAGATGCAGGCTTGTCGACAATTTCAGGGAAATCTTTGCCATGAACGCCTCCCATAGTATGTCCACATGCAATCAAGCCAATCATTTCATCCCGATTCAAGCCCATGCGCTTGAAAGCAGCAGTATGGCTCTCAATTGTCTCGTCGGGCTTAGGGACGCCGCTTGGTCCAGCACCAGTGGCATCGATTCGTCCGCCACGGAACGGCACAATGACCTTGCCAGCTGAGCAGCTACCTATGGAGGTAATAAGACCAATAGTCAAGAGGTCAGCCATGGAAGATTGTGCAGTGAGACTTCCGCGAAGAAACTGTAATGTTTCATTGAAAGCAACTGGGCCGGCATTCTCTGGGCGGTCCATCTCAAAACCAATCGACGCATCAACACCACCGGTGCCAGCGACAACATCGGCCGTTGCCACATCATGGTATACCGTTCGCACCCACTCAGCGTTGATGTTGCGACCAGTAGCCAGAGGCGTGGTTCCGCATGGAACAACGAATTGGGCAATGGATGTGATATCGTTGCCGACCTGTTCGTAGAGCTGCGACTCGAGGAAGTCAGATGCGGACGGCCAGATGTACTCGGCAGCCTTTGGCGCATCAACACCAAGAGCAATGCCGACATGCACAATGGCTACGACCACTGATGTTAAAGCAGACTTCATATTTGCATAGACTTGTATAGTAATGGTCTACTACGATGCGTGGATTTACAAGTTGTGTGGACATCCCAGTTGACGGACGGCGGGAAATGGGGATATATGACTACGAAGCGGCGGATACTTTTTACTTCGGAGATTTGCGTAGGCAACACTATTGAAATTAGCCATCGGAGGACAAATCTGCATTGGAAGTGCCATGCGGCGGAATGGTTCGTCTGACTGTCAGCGTGGATTGGGCGCTTACTAGCTGCAGATAGCTGCGCAAGGATTGGTTGAGCGAGTTACAAGCAGCAAAATCTAGAACCCAAAGATGCATATTGAAAGAACAAGGCTGCAGGCACGGCATCTAGCCTCATGGAGACTTTTTGGTACGTGGAGATCCAATCTAGCGCCGGAGGTTGGACGGGGCCGGCGAGTTTGTCTTGATTTCACTGAAATTAGGTGAAGCACTCTATTTAGAAAGAGCATGGACATATAGGCCAATCGGAAGGGGTAAATATAATGATACGAAAACCTTATTGGCGTCAATCGGAATATACCTCTTTGAGACATGCAGTTGCTGCCAAATGTGAGCCGTTCTAGCATATTGACACATTCAAAAGATGTTACCTTTTCCCCATAGCTGGAATCAGCACTAAGGATTGAATCCAGTGTTATAGTTCAGCATTGGTTATGAGAGTCCGTTTGTCAAGTATTTTAGCGTCCCATTACTATTAGCAATGGGTTGGATCTTTGTTCATCGTCCATGCATCAATGAATGACCAGAACAGATAGGCCGTTGCAAAAGTCGCGCATATACAACTGGTTTCCCCTTTCTACTCTCCGCCCAAAGACAAAAACCAATTTATGCCGGAAGCGCAATAAGAATCGCGAAAAAAAGAATGTGCGGCGAGGAAATGGAAGAGTTCGCAGTGGTGGACACACGGGTGGTTTTAATCGCGTAAGACTATCGACGGTGACTGTGAACCCGTAGGATTCTACGTTGGCACGGTTCAGCGAAGCCAAGAAAAGACGAAAACCTCTAGAAGCGTCAGCTGTAAATTGTGGAATATACGGAATTTACGCCGGTATATATTTTTTCAGCGCTTTGATTTTATTATTGGTTGTTTGACAGGCATTGTTTCGTCTTGGCTTATGGGTGATGTCCTTTGCCAATTGGCAGGCTGTAATTTAGAAGCGTTGTGTTTGCTGGACTGCTGTAATTAGAGCCTGCCATGCGCCTGTAGCGCCCTGTAATGTAGCGCAGAGCCCTGGGCTGTACTGGGTGTAAACTCGAACCAACAATGCCGTGTTGTGGCTATTGTAGTGTATAGATTTTAAACTTGTTCGTCTTGACTTGTTAATTGTCGCTACAGCCAATTGGCCTTTGTATCACACGAAGGATTCCGCTGTCTTGTTGCCTCAGTCATCATCACGGAATCCTTCGGCACCTGGCGCACCTGTCGCAGCTGTCAATACCAGTCTCTCAGCCGCAATTGACGCTTCTTCTTCCCTGCTTCACCACCATCCAAACATCTTGGCTCGCAATTCTCAACACATTGGTGGCCTCCAATTGTTGCAATATTCTCAGCATCTCCAAGAAAAATATTTCGAGATTAAATGAAAATCAATTAAATTAATTCAATCAATTAAAAATAATCAGGCCATCCCGCACACCCCACCATCCGCTCACGAACGACAAGGCCTAGGTTCCCTGCTTCACGACCATCCGTCGCTGCAACGCAACCTCAGCCTGCCATCCCATATAAGCTTGGGCCAAATAAACTATTCGACGCCGTCCCACTGCCTCTGCAACCATCCTGCCTACCTACCTAACATTCTCACCATGGGACTCCGCGTTTACGCCGCCGCTGCCGCCCTGGTACCTGTCGCCCTACCCGCAGCATATCTCCTCTACCTCCACCTCAGCTCCTCCCGCGAATGCCGCCTGGCCGATGGCCGATTGAGATCTACATTGAAATCTCCAACCGTCACCCAAGACCCTGGGGCTGCCCCTGACGCGCAACCCTCTCCTCCCACTTCCCTTCCAGACGCTGTTCGAGACCACCTTGATACCTGGGTTGTCTCTTACGAACGCGCAGTCTCTGCTCCCCTGGACCTATCGACGCTAGCACTGACACCTGCAGATGCCTCGCAGACGGATACTCGCCCATCGGCCTTGCTGAGATGCTACGTCCAGGCTGCTCATGTCGCCTTTAGCTGGACCCCCCAGGCCTTCCTCATTCGCTCTCTCATCAAGGACAAGGATACGCGCGCAACTTTTGACGCGTCACGGCTACTGAGCACAAACTTTGTCCAGGGCGATATTGTCAATGGCGTGTATCGTGTGATTGCCTACCAGGGCAAAGGACCACAGCACCCGGGACAGCCAGAGCGTGTAGAGCTTGCCCTGACGAGCCCACCCGATTACAAGGGACCCCCTATGGAGGGACGAATCATTGCGATTGTCGAGGAGGCCGAGGAAAAGGGCTCGGTTGTGCTCGTCAACGAGACGTGGATGTGGCGCAAGGTCGAGGACAAGCCTACCATGTTGGAGTCAGCCGGGGGCAAGCTCTTCCACGGGCTCCTTGCGAAATGGCTACTTACTGCTGGCAAGCAAGCTGTCGAGAAGAAATTCACCAAGAAGAATGAATAAGCGAATGCAATGACTGCAGACTTTGCCTTGATATCAAGGCGTGTACAACAACTCCCCTCTCTTTCAGAAACTACACCGGCGTTTAGCACACAAGAGTGCAATGAATGGGCCATTAGTATACGATGTTCGATTAATTTAAATTCAAAAAATAACCATGAAAAGCATAGCCAGATGAACCTTCAACCCTCAAGCTTGGGAATAAGTATCTCAACATCTGGAGCCTTGGGGATAATGAGTGGGATATCGGCATTGAAAACAATTCGTCTTCGTGAATCGGCATAACCACCGGGATAGTAATGCAGCCATGGGGCCGTGGTGTCATAGAATGCATTTCCATGCTTATCCGCGTTCCAGAATAGTCTTCGTAGCCACCTGTGCAAGTTTGGATAGTTTCCTCCGCGAATTGTGTCCAGCGTGCAAAGCATCGCCGTATTATACGCGGCATCGAACCTTGCAATAGTTGGATACAGCCGAATATCCGCCAAAGTCAACCCATTCCCTACGAGATACGGCGTCTTTGAGAGCCACGTATCAAGTTCACGCAGGGTCTCAAACAGCGGCCCAATATTCTCCTCATACGATTCTTGAGAACGTGCAAAACCAACTTTGTATACGCCATTGTTGAGTGTATCATATACTGTCTTATTGATGGCGTCAATCTCAGCCTTGAGATTGGCTGGGTAGAGGCCGCCGTCGGGTTTGCTAGACTCACGCAGGTGCTCGGGAATGAGGCCGTCAAACTCGGTGGCAAACATAACAATCAGCTCCGATGATTCGTTGTTGACTGGTCGGTCTGTCTTCTTATCCCAGAGCAGAGGTACAGTATATCGACCGCTAAAGTTTGGATCGTTGGACAGGTACAACTGCTTGAGCGTCGTGAATCCCGGATGCAGAGGATCTTCGGGCGGGCTTCCCATCTCGCCAGAAAAGTACCACCCGTCTTGTCCAAGATATGGATGTACTTGAATTAGTTCAATAATGTCTTCGAGGCCTTTGAGCTTTCTCATAATCATGGTGCGATGAGCCTGTGCCGTTGTAAGTGAAGTGCTTCGCCGTATGCCAGTGGACGGTGTGTGGTGCTTACCCAGGGACATCCAGGCGATATGTAGAGAGCATATCTGCCAGCCTCGGGAGGGAATTCTGCGCCAGGCTCGCGCGATATGAAGCTGCGATAGTCTGTGTCTGGGCGGGTAAATGACCCGTCCTTGTGGTAGATGAGGCCCTTTGACATGGTGTTAGTTGCGACTGTGAATGGTGGACGATGCGCTTCGTGTTTGTTTTTTACAAAACGTGTAATTGAAAGTAAACTTTGTATTAATTATGACAGCGCGATCAATATACTTATAAAATTCTCAAATTGTGATGCGCTGCGTTGTTGGTTGGTTATGATTTGTTAAGGTTTACGTTAGCTTACAAAGCATTATATATCATCAAGTAGCTGCGTTCAATCACGCAATCGACGTCACTGGTCCGACCAAGTATGAATACAATAATATTTTTACAATATTACATCTCTATTATTTCGTTACTCTGCTAGCCACGGGTCCTGTAGCAACTGCTTTGCTGTTGGGCGTTTGGCCGGGTCCCATGTCAGCGCTCGCCGCATAAACCCAAGAAACTCTGCCTTGTGCTGTAGTTTTGTCTCGGCTGCTTCCAATGTCTTTTCTGGCGGAATGGGAACAAAGTCGCCCCAGTTTCCTATCAACCTCTATTAGAATCTCCCAGTGATAAAAAATGGTACATCCGTGATCTTACCTGCTTCATCCCAGTACTCAAGCGCCCTAGCTCGATGGCGATTCAACAACTCCTGTGGAGGGGGCCCAGGGCTGCTACAAGTTCAGAAAAGTGAATACCATCTGAAAAGCCTCCTTCTTGGTTACGTGCCGTAAACAGAGTCTTGCCCTGTAATAGATCCCATGCCTACATCTAGCTGAATAACCTTTGCTGCTAGACGATCGCTTACCGTTAATCCAACGCTCCAAGTGTCTACTGCGTAGCTCCATTGAATATAAAGCAAAGTCTCGGGAGCCCGATACACAATGGGCATAATGTCGCCAGCGTGAGGCCCTGGCCCAAGTCTAGCGTCACCAAAGTGCGACAGAAGGAGAGGTCCAACTATTTGGTTTCATTAGACGTTAGCAGTAGATGGTGCGGTCTGGGTATTCTTTGCGGGGAACTGGGTTGTTAAATTCGTCGTCTTCCAACTTCATGGATAGCGAATTATCCTCTAGGCCTAGTAGTAGGTTACCTGGGTGGATATCTGCAGTGCTTGTTAGAATATTTATACAGCTTTCCATAGAGAAAAAGATAGAGGTACGTACCTGTATGCACAGTTTGTGCCTCAGTATGGAGGAAATCAACCGCCTGGAGTAACTCTCGAATGGCTGCCTTGGGAAAGCCTTCATCAAAGCCGCGGCCTTTCATAAAAACTGTATCCATATCGCGCAAGCGCATTTGTGAAACTTGCATAACTAAAACAAAGTGTTCCCCTTGATCGCCAGATATAGTGAAAGAGTCTAGGAGCTGTCTGATATTACTAGCACCAACATGTTGCTGACCAGACACCTGGTTCAGGCGCTCATAGAAGGGAAGCTCGCGGTGTTTGGCAGAATTATGGATGTAAACTTTCACGGCAACGTATTGGTGGTTTCGGTTTTAATTAGTATATTGCTTTTGCGGCTTTTCAAGATACTTACTCAAGGTCGCGAGCTAGCCATATGGTCGAACTCGAGCCGTAGCCTAACTTTGCTAGTACTTGATATCTCTCCTGGAATATCTCTCCTAATTTAACAGGATAGAAGTGCTCATGGTTATATTCAGGCATCCCTTCTTCTTCTAGCGGGCGGTCTTTATCCGTAAGAGGGTAGCCTTGCGTTGGAAGAATCCGAGCATTAGATCGCTGTTGTGAGAAGACCTTACTGAATGGTCGAGTAAACGACCAAGAAGTCATCATGAGCATATACAATAGACTTTTATCAATAGGGCATGTTTTCCTAGAGATTTGTAATTGCTGGCGGATGCAGCGCCCTATTATAGGTTTTAACGCCATTGATGTAGTTATATTGTCACTGTAGCTGGTAAGTTACAGAGCTGCCGGTGTGGATAAAAACAGTTGACAAAATGGTAGTGGCGCGCCACGCGCAAGAGGTATGTTAGTGACAACAATAGCATTTCGAGAATAACCACTATAATAGCTCAACCAGTCGACTCTTTGCAAAGAAATATATATCGCAATAGAGGTTTTACATCAACTATTTATCTGTTTGTTTGGTTGTTTGGTTGTTTATTGGCCTATCTGTTTGTCTGGGATATGATTCGAAGCTGGTATATTAGTCGAGTTTGCGCACGTTCTTAAATGCGAGGAGAAGCTGGAGCTAACGGTTGCAATAGATGGTCACCTATCAGGACGAGTTTCCTGTGGTAGTAGCGAGGAGTGCTTACATGCGACCAACCGAAGGACGCGACAGTCAAGCAGTTACCACGGGAGTTATGGCTGGTAGAGGAACGAAATCATTTGAGATGTAATAATGTCCATTTATCATTATCTTCGTATTTTGTCGAATATGTAGCATGAGCATGCGTTCCGTCAACCAAAATATATAAATCAGTAACTCTAGCGTATATTTTACTGATGGGCTCTTGTTAGGATATAAACCTCAGCTTCGCGCAGTATTCCTTAACCCAACCTCTACAGAGCCGACCATATCTTGGCACGTCCAATTTCTTGTGCAAATGCCAGTGGCTTCAGAATACTCGTTTCCCCTGGAATCACGCCAAAGAACGGCAAGTCCACTGTAAGTATGGTCGTTTTTGGTGGATTGGAACTCAGCTGCCGCCCACCACAACTGGGTTGGCTCTATGACTGTGGTGCATTTATCAACGCCCAAGCGACATTGACCAAGCGAAGTTTTCATCCCATTCGAATACTCCAAGATAATACCCATACAGAAGCCCGACTCGGTATCCACAAACATGGAAGCAGATGTGACGTTGTCCAGAGCAGCAGAAGAGAAAAAGGCGTTGGGTAACAGAAGATCCTCTTCTCGATGGCTAGGCTCGGGGGATGGGCATCTCTAGGGCCATATTGAGGTATAGTACGATAATAAGGGGCTGAAGGGAGGTTTAGTACACAAAACGATTCTATCGTTATCCTCTAGAGGCTCCAAGCAGGCACCGCACTGCGGCTGTAGTTGATGTGAATCTCGCCTGCCTTCCAGACTGGGGGTAGAGTCCTCGGAGAAGCTATGGGCCTAGTCATCTGGGAATATGGTTGCTTGTTGGACGTAGAAAATGCAAATAGACTGATACAGGAGACTTTTCGCTAGGCGAATCATGGCTTATAAGGGGAGAGGAAGACCTCGAGAAACTCCCACGTGCACTTCGATTCACGCTCAGACCGCGCGCTAAACACTACCGTGATTCTGGCGTTAAAACTACCTTATATCAGCGCGTAGAGTCAGCTGAACAAGAAAGAAGATGTTGTACAATTAACCATATGATTCAATTGGTTGGTTAACGGGAAACCAGGGTTGTGAACCAATGTGATGTGCTCCATACCCTGCAGTAGTGATGGAGAGGTTTCCAGCATTTCCAACCGTGGAACCAAGAGTACGAGGTCAACACATAAATGAAACTTGTTACCAAAATAGGATATTCAGCACAAGAGCTGCTTTGCAACATTTCACGTTGAAACGGTGCCCGTCTGCGTCTGAGAGCAGAAACTGTTGGTGCACCAGACGTCCGATCCTCGCCGCACGTCCCGTACACACACGCCCCCGCAAGAGTATCTAGTAGCCTTTTTTCTATGCTCGTCATTCCAGGGGGATTTTCCCAGACCGCGCACGTATCCTGATTTTCCAAGTTGTAACAATTAGCTGCCGCCGGGCTGGGGGCTCAAACTATTGTTGGGCCTACCCTCGCTCAGTCGCGTGGCCCTGCGACAAGCGACGACGAGGCTAGAACACGCAAAACTCTGCTGGTGGCGCGAGGCGTTGTAAAGTAAACCCAAAAAGACAAAAGTCCTTCTCCTCACACATAGGCTTGAGCCTCGGTAACGCAAGCTGCACAGCCACTACCTTTAGAGTTGGCTGTTGGGGCTGGCGAAACTCTATTCCACGTTTGCCAAACCATCTCCGTAACAGACGGCGGGAAGCTCCGAGATGGATCGAGGCAAGACAGCCGAGTTTTTGCCTGCCCTTTGGGAACTGTATTGGTGGTGCCATAAGGCGCTGAAGGGCAAAACAGAGTCATTCGTTTTTTACGTTTAGCCCATCGCCAATTCCGGCCATACATTAAGCTTCCGCCCAGACACACGCCCCCTCCCAGCAGTTCTTTTTTTTTAATGATTTAATTCATCCCGTTAGTTATGCCACGCTCTTCTAGAAAATAACACATGAAAGGCCGGGCGGGCCGGTCGGAGCGAGCGTTGAGCCATTGGAGGCGACGGTAGCATGGCCACGATATACACAGATGGATGACGCACGCGGTGGCGATGGGAACATCGGCGCACGTTGAGCCGTCAGCCGAGCGACAGAAGCGCGGAGAAGAAGAATTCAGCGCACGACAGAACGTGGCACTTGCGACGGGCATGTCGTGCGCTGGCAATATCTCGTTGTTCTGCGATTGTCGGTTGTTGGTGGTAGTATCAGAAGGGAACGGTAGCATGTATTATGTGCGTAAGAAGGTCTGAGAGTCGACTCATCATCATGGCAAGGGCGGAACCTCCGCCTGTGAAAAGGAAAATAAAAAATAATAATAATAAATGAATTATTTCAAAAAAGAAAAAAAGTGATAAGCCCTTCCCGAGGGAAGGAAAAAGAAAGAATCTGGGGGAAGATCTAGAGGGCTGACGATGTTTTCTTTTGGGCAGCCAAAAAGAAAACCCATTTTCTTTTCACGGTCCTCCCACGGAAACGTTGGAATTTCGTTTTTACTTGCTCAATGGCGGGGGGGTTGGTTTCTTCTGCTATACTGCAGTGTCGTTGGTCGTTACATGCATGTTAGTCAAAGGAGACGGGCGACGGGCGACACACCGAAACTGGGCTTCACCGGAATGATTGGTGCAGAGTCATCGTATAATCGCTGGAGGTAAGCGAGCCTCCTTCCGGTGAGGCTCCCCTTTGTATGTACTGTACATTCGCTCGTGCTGCTGTCGCCGCCAACCAACCACCGCAGCTGACTCGAGTTGGTTGTACGGTGGCCACGTTTTTTGCGGGCGGCGGTGGGTGGTGCAAAAGGATGGCACGGTAGGCCCGAGCCCCCCAAAGAGACAGCCAGACAGCTTGTTTAGCGTGACGTTGGCAGGAATACGCGAGCCCGATTAAGGTAGTATCGAGGTCTAACCGCAAAGGAGAGCGTTTTTTCGAGACGGCCAAGGGCGGAAGAGACGGGATAGGCAAAGAGGAATGTGGCGGCGGTAAGAGATGACAAGAAAGGGCATTCCGGTTGCCTTTTTTTCCCGTAGAGCGCCTATCCTTTCTTTTACTAGTGACGAGGCGGACGAGGCGTTACGCTGTGTCCCAAGGGTTCCGTGATGTTGGGCAGCCAGCCGTGTTGTGTTGGTGGAGGTTTCGGAACTTGCCATTGGGAGGGGGAGGGGCGCCAGCTGGTGGTGGTGCGGGCTGCTCACCTCACCTGGCGCGAAGGAAGCGGCGGTGGTACACCGAAGGAATCACGCCGAAGTGCAAATGGCCGTGCATGCCATACCGGAACTATCACCCGTCAAATGCAATGCCCATCATATGGATTGGCTAATGTAGTCTACTACTTCAGGATGGGCGGCAAAGGAGGGCCGGGCCATGCTCCCCGCTGCCAACCAACTTGCAACGAGACAAGATCCAACACTGAGCCTGTCAAAGCAAAGAATATCAAACATGCGAAGAACAGACACTAGCGAAGAGCATCAGCTATATTGAGGTAACTCTTGCGACAGATGCTCAAAGGTAAAACCAACATTGGAGACGAATATACTACACACCCCCCTCTCTCTCGGGTCTCTCGGGTGGTGCCCCTGGCTAGCGTCGCTAAATTTATAGCCTCGTTTGGCCAGCGTCTGTGAGCAACGGAGAGCCAAACGCCATGCGATATATCTGTCGTTATGCAAAGCACACATACCGTGCGCCCAATCAAAGTAAGGGGGAGCTATTGATTCAGGGATTGGATTGGAGAGGCGCTGTTCGATGCAGATGGTCGGCGAGCTGGGTTCACCATGGAAATGACGAAATGTTGTCTGCAAAGCCGCTGTCTTGGTGTAAGTTAGTGGTGAGCATCATCGTATGCAGGGGCCTGCAGGCGATGTGCTCGTAGGCGTTGTTGCTAGTGGGATATGGGAAGCCGAGGGTGAAAAAGGAGTGACAATTGGCCAATGAGGGAGCTGCCGATGACAGGTGAAATCAAGGTCAAAACAACAATAACAAATAACAACAAGAGTAAAAAATGTAATAAAACAAAATACC